CTGCCTCCCCAACAAGTTTATGCCCCCTATAACAAAAATTTCTCAAAAAAAAAAAAAAAAAAAAAAAAGTCCTTGAGAAGCATGGGGTACATGCCAATCACAGCTACCTGCCTCCCTGCCCCCCTTCTGGAGGCAGTTCTGTTCCTACAGAACGCACTGGAAATGCTACAGACGCTCTGCCTGATGTGCTTCCAATGACACCTGGGGTAGCTCTTCTGACCCCAGCGACTTCCTCTTGTTAGAGGGGGAAACAAAATACCACAAAGTAAAAACCCCACACGACAGAGGGGGGAGAAGGACCAGACACACTACAGCTTTTGCATGCAACAAGTACCTACCCACTGGACGTGCTGCACTTTCTGAGTCCTTTAGCACCTTGAGAGAAAGAGTTGCTATGTCTTGGGGGGTCGTGGGGGTGGGGAAATGTGGCTATGCACAAAAGCAGGGCTCAACCCCAGGAGCCCCTGAAAAGTGTTTCCCCCACTCTCTCTCTCTCTCTCTCTCTCTCTCGCTCTTCTGACTCCCCTGCCGGGGCTTCCTACACTAAAATAGACTCTTTTCATCATCTCTATTTACATGAAAGAAACAGACACAGCACTGTACACAAAAGGCTATGGCAGCACGGAAGAGAAGAAACCAAACCCAGCTTGGCTCAACCGCCATTCTGCCAATGGGAGGTGCTGCCTCTCTTCTTTGCTGTTAAAAATCCTCTTCTTGGTCGGGAAGGGGAATTGTATTCCTTGAGGTTGCTCACCCCCAGATTTTGAAATCAGCCCTTCCTGGGGATGGCCCTAAAGGAAGCAAGTTGTTTTATTATTATTTCTTTTTAAACACCATTAGTATCGGGTTTAATTATTCTATAAAAACGTAATGACTGAGATCCAGAGACCACAGCCTCAGACTCATTGGCAAAAATGATATTTGGTCTCGCAGGTGCCTCCCTGGCCTCCTCTACCCATGAAGTTTCTGGAAAGGATCTGAGTAGAGAGAACTCAGGACACAACGTGGGCAGGCGAGTCTGGGCTTGGTAAGAACCGAAGGACGGTGCGATGAGTGGAACGCCCCCAAAATGAGAGTTAGTGATGAAGCTGGAAGGGAGAAATTCACTGTGCAGTGGCTCCTAAATCCATCCTGTGGCTCCAGGGAGGCAGGAGGAGGAACGAGGCTTGGACTCCCTGCTGTCCTCTGTTCTCAGGGTGCTCCCAAGTATATACAATAGGGACTACCCAGATGGCGGGGCAACCTACGGTGGAGTGAGGAGGGAAGGAGAAGGTAGAGAAGCCAAGACTCCAAGGTCGTCTTCCAGGTACCCTGGCACTCGGTGAACAATCCCCCCTAGACAGCCAGCTCCTGAGGGCCGGGGACAATGGCAAAGGGGCAGAGAGGCCGGAAAGGCTGATCGGCAGCTGCGCCTTCTGGTGTGTCCACATCTGTCTTCCATCTTCTGAAAAAGAACCCCCCCACACGCACCAAAACCACACCCTGTCCCTGCCGCTGTCTGTTTGACACAATGTTCCAGGACCATGAGAAACCCCCAAAGTACGTCTTCATCCTTTTCGGGACTAGAGGGTGGGCGGTGGTGGTCTCTATTCCTTCCAAAGCTGGGTTGGGAGTGGACAGACTGGCGAGGTCAGCTTCGGGAGGCTAAACCCCTGGCCTTGCTGTGGTCATCTCAGATGTGGGAAGGGAACCAAGTTTCCAGGAACGGCGCTGGGGCTTCGACTCAAAGTGTCAGAAAGGCTTGTCGGGTCTGCTGGCCTTGGCCTCCCCGCTGGCCGCCTTGCAGATGACGCTGTTCGTGTGCTTGCAGCGGCACCCTGGGCGGCGCAGGCGGTCGTAGCCACGCTGGGCCAGCTTCACGCAGCCGGTGGGCGGGAGGGGGGCGAGCG